CCCATTCTACTTTTAGAAATTCTAGGAACCACTAGTAAACCTGCAGATTGAGAGCGAAGTGCTCTGTTAGGAACATAAGGAACAATCAGATCTCTGAAACATCAGGTAAAATAGTCTGAACGCTGAATTTCTCTTAAATGTTGCAAAGACATTGAATTCCATTAGCTGAAGGTTAAAGCAGCGACTCATCGCAAGATTATTCATCTTTAAAGCTTTCTCATAATTATAGGAGAATCTTAATGGGACTTAATAGAGATCTGGTCAATATAATACATATTGATACATGTTGGGATGAGATCCATGAGCTCCTTCCTGCTCTCTGAGGGCCGCATCAGTTCATTCTTCACATAATATCCCTGAGTGTCTCTAATAGCCATCCCCTGCCTCCTAATCCCATTACTCATCAAACTGCTGCGTCAGGAAGAATGGATAAAGTGCATGTAGAGCCGTGTGGATCGCCGGGCTGCACACCTGCCTTTCTTACTCTCATTTTAAAGGAAGAATTAAAGCAAAAGGGTCCATTAATGGTAACAGGAGACTGTTTGCTTTGGCGCAGTTCATTGTTTTTATTGCTCACAGGTCTCACTTTATTCAGAACAACTATGATTTTACTTGTTTCTAAGAAATAACTAATAGTTTTTCTGAAAGTCATAGTAAGCAGGTTAAATTAAAAGAAGGTATTTGTCCTTATTATAATAGAACAGAAATGCATCCCTCTCTAATACAAAGTAATGGTTTCTATATAAATATCTCAACTGCAACAGATTAAACCCAAAAAATAACATTTAATTTAACATTTCACTTTCCAGACGATTGGTTCTCCTCAGGATGCTGGATGCTTGAAACTTGACAAGTTCTGCTAATAATTATGGAACCGGCTGGGATCCCATAGAGCATCGAAATCAGATTCTAGGATAATCTTTTCATCCGTAAATATGAAAGGAAAGAAAAACACGGTAGAACTTGTAACATTTCTGTAAAGGTAACAGTTTAAAATCAATGTAAATGGATTATGACCAATAAGGTTAATGGACTAGTTTTCTCAGAAAATAGACACGAGTCATGAAGGAGCAGACAGAGACTGATTTACAGTGACAACATCCAAATAGCCATATAACAAATGTGCAAAAAAAATTTAATAAAATGAAAAATGCTTCAGTTTTGCTCTATAGGTCAAATAGTAAAGCAAAGCATAGTAAAAGCATTTGGCACATTTGGAGATTTTTGGAGACGCTGGTGACACCAAAAGTTCAAAGCCCCACAGCTCTGGAACTGTTGGAGCTACAGATCTGAAATTTTCTGCATTTGTGGCTGACATGATGTAGAACAAATGGAAAACAATGACACATGCCTTTTCTCAAACATGTCTTTATTACTGTTTCATCTCATCTCTGCTCACAGTAGTTGGCTGCAGCTCTCCTCTCAACGCCTCCTAATCTTTTATACTTCATGCTGGAATATTCTACATTACTTAGTTGTTCAAAGCAGTGTTGTTTTTGTGAAAGATGAGGAAATCATTCTGTTGACGCTCCTTTTTATCATGACGATAATTAAAACTGACGAGATAAAGGTAGATCGTTGATGACTAAAACATGACTACTCATAGGTTTGAGTTTTATTCAATGAGACGAGACTAAATAAAAATTAGCGGGTCAGACGTTTAAACTGCATCATCGTGCTGTAATCAACTATCAAGATTTTACTTCTTCCAGCTCACAAGAGGTGAAGATAAAACATTCTTTAATTTCTACCAAAAGGAATCCCTAAATTATATCCAAAGAAAATATTTGATTGAATTTTATTAATTTTTGGATAAAGATCCAGATGAAAAGGTACATAGATCTTTGAATATTTCTCTCATTGTTCTCATTTCTATCTCTTTAAATATGATGTAAATGTTTCCTTGTATTGTCATTAACACATTTTCTGTTTCCTTTGAACATTTCAACATTTGAGTTCGAATATTCATTCATTTTATGTCTGGGTTGCCATGGCATTACAAGGCAATTATGAGGGTTCTTTCTGTATTTTTTTTAATATGAAAACCCTGTGAATTTAAATCTACTTTGACCCCTGAGCAGCAATAAACAATTCAGCTTTTTAAGTTTAAGTCGACTAAAACCGACTAAAACTATTGCATATTGTAATGACTAAAGTGTGACTACGAGTAATAATAGTTTTCGTCCTGAATACTAAGACTAAATCTAAGATGGCTTTCAAAAACAGCACTGTTTCAAAGAAGATTCTTCTCCACATCCAAATATGTAAAGGTTTAGGAAGAATTAAATAAAGAAAAAAAAGGCATCTATTCCAGTGCTTTTATTCTGAAATTTTTTCTTGTGAAATTTACCAATCAGATTAGTAAAACCGAGTATTAGGGCCAGGCTAGAGATTTTCTTTACCTTCTATTTCGAGAGTAAAGTTATAAAATTACGATAATCAATTTTTATTTATGACAACTCTTCCCAGAAGCCCTTTCTTCCCTAAAATGAGGAATTTGGAGCATCGTGTGAAGTTATACTTTAGCATCGGTTTGACAATCAGGAAATCTTTTAGCAGCTGCATCAAACTGGGCA